AAAAAAAAAAAGGCTGTGTGAGGGACCTGCCTGGAAAAACTGCTGAATGGAAAGGCTTGGGAATCACTTATAGACACTGATGGCAGATGAAGAGTTTTCATGTCTTTATAGAAATGGTTAGCAGCCACTCCTAACAGTCCCCTGACGTCACAGAAATCCTGACTCTTGCTTGGGCTTCTCATTCTTTCTGAAGTCTGTCCCTTCCGCTTTTCATATGGGACCTTAGCATAAGGGGCCAAGGAAGACAAAAGCAGACTTGCTCAAAGGAGGGACCAAGGCAAGGTATAGCGGCTGCTCTGCCTGCTGGACGGGCCATGTCCAGCTAAGGGCCAGGTGGTGCGTTGGAGGGGATGCTACTTGGAGGGGGACCTCTGAACACTCAGCCATTGCTGGAAACTCAGACATGTGGGACCGCTGGAAGGAAAAGCACCCCTGGATGGGGCGAAGGTTGAGTTCAGTTTTGTTTTTTACTCTGTGTGTGTGTACGTCAGGGGGTATAATGATAAATGTTTGTGTTGCAAACACACGAACGTGAGCAGAATAGTGGAAGGCACTTTATTATATGCACTTACGGGTGGACATTTGCATTTATTTATACTGAGGAAAAGGAACCTTCAGAGGGGAAGATTTGGGGTGGTGGGTATTGCCCGGAAGTTTCTAGTGTCCCCAGTTTTCACAAATGGAACTTTCTGAGTAAACCTCCCTTTGACTGACCTATTTCAAGGTTTGAATTTTTTTAAAAAAAAAACAGTTTGAAAAATTAGAGCTTATACAAATTCCCCCTGTTTTTTCAACAGTGAAAATATTTTTAATCTGCTTTTCATGCTGTTCAAATTCTAAACATAACTTCTTTTAGATTCAATCTTGAATCTCTTGGAGAGTCTAGATACAGCCCACATAGAGTCCTCTATAAAATGCTATGTATATGTCACTATTTTGTTTTTGTAAAACGTGGCATTTGTATTTTTAAACATAGAGATTACTTTTCCCTCTTTGTCGTTAGGAAGTGTGTGTGCTCAGCTTGCTGTGTGAGACCCTCCATCCCCACTCTTCAACGCGTCTCAGGGGTGGGGGGTCTGTATCTCGGCCTCCCTAATCACATGACTGTTGGAGACACCAGTCCAGAGTGCAGACCCACCAGCCACCCTACTCAGATATGTTCCCTTACTAAATCACTCTGCAGAGCAAACTTCATTTTTGGAAATAAAATTTCTGTAGGATCTCAAGGACCCTGTAATGAGAACCTATCTGTGCTATATTATAAGATGTCCCAAGGGACCCAGTTAAGCAAGTAAGCTTATCTCTTGGAGGCAGACTTGCTGACTTGTTTCTATGGTTCAGAACTATTACTGTATATGTTGTCTGTGCATTTGGATATATGACTTTTCTCACCTTCTTAGACACTCGCCTTGTCTTAACAGAAGGGACATGGACTTAGAGTCAGGTGGTGCTGGATTTGAATCACTTTACCACTTTAGTGGCTTTCAGAAGGTTGTATAATGTCTGTGAGCCTTCGTTTCCTCATCTATAAAATAAAATTAACACCTACAGGGCTTATTTAGGTTTACTTTGCAAAGCCTCTGCCCATATTAAGCCCTGGGAAAACATTAGTTTCCATCTTCCTATTTCTTGTTTGTTGATTGTTGTTATTGGTTTGTTTTTCTTCCAATCCTTGGGTTTTCCTTTGCTTTAACTAGAATGTGATCTTGCAGTATAATATATAGATCTGAATTCTGCCGACAGAATTATTTTCTGAACTGGGCTTTTGACTTTTCTTGCCAAACAGCGGCCCATTAAGTTCAGTCCCTGATCGACATCGTGTTTCTCAGTTCCTGTGTGTTCCCTCAGATCTGTAGAGGGGTCGCTCAGGGTGACAGTTTCACAGGGCTCTGGGGCTGACTGTCTAAGGCAGTAATCTGTTTCCCCCTTAAAGATCCTAACAGCATCTTCTTGGCAAGTTCATCGTATTTATTATTCTGACCTGCGTGAGGATTGTCCCCAACTGTCATGTCTTTGCAGAGTTTTTCTTACTCTCATGTGCTATAAGTGTGGTGCCATTTTACACACTTTGCTTTTGCTAATATGAAATAAGTCCCATTATAAATAATCCTAAGGGATTTCACAGATTATTTTACTGGTCCAACGTAAGAGGTCTGTTCCCTGAAATGTGGAGTTGCTTTAGTACAGTTTGTAGAAGTGAAACGTGGTATAATGTGATTGACCCACGGGTCCCTATTTGCACAGCCTGAGGCTTGCTGAGAAGAAACCAAAAAAAGGGAGCAGATCCCGGCGTTTGGCAGTTTGCCTCCGTCCTGCGATGATAACTCCCAGAGCAGCTTATTCCACTGTGACACTGACTCAGTCTTTCTCTCTCCACCCCCATTGTCTACTTCTGGTGTGCTCTGTCCCCATGAATTCTGGGGTCGCCCTGACTTATGCCTTCCTCATCCTAAGGAGGAAGACAGCTTGTCTCTGTTACTAGAAGTAGGAAAACAGAAATGCCATCATCACTTTCGATGCAAACAGTATATGTTTGTTGAATGTATGAATACAACAACTTGGAATAATTGTTGACAGTGTTTCCAAATATTTTGGACCTATTTAAGTGAAGAGATGAATAATTTGAAACTGGCATTCGTCTTCTTTTTTTTTTCTTTTGCATTAGCAATAAATGAGATTAAGCCATTAAAACAAATGGTCATAGTTAAAGAGTGGTTGTCGCCGGCAGCAGATCTTTAGAAGGTGTTATCTATGTATTACTTTTTGAAGTTGAATTGAAGACACTAGTCAAGCCTACCTATACATGCAACACACGTCCACTTCATACATTTTTGGGGAATGAGTGAATTTATTTCCAACTAAATCTCTTCAAATGTGTACACATTTTTTTGCACCCTTGATATGTGTTACACTGATTTTTTTTTTATACCAGTTTAAAGGAGATCTATTGAGTGCCTTGTGCTAGGCTTTTTGTTCATCATCCACTGCTCAGGGGTGAATAAGGAACAGTCTTGTTGTAAGTTCATGGTCTAACTGAGATGACAGAACAGACAAAAGGCAGATAATACTGAAATAAAATGACACTGCCTAAGAGAGAAGTAGTCATGGAGTTAAGTATCTTCTTCTCCAGATATTTTATTTATGCTTTTGTTTTCATTTTTTATTTTTATTTAGTTTTGAGACATATTCTCACCTTGTTTCCCTGAGTAGAGTGCCATGGAACCATCATAGCTCACAGCAACCTCAAACTCTTAGGCTCAGGTAATCCCCTTGCCTCAGCCTCCCTAGTAGCTGAGACTACAGATGTGCACCACTGTGCTTGGCTAATTTTCTATCTTTGGTAGAGACAGGATCTTGCTCCTTTTTAGGCTTATCTTGAGCTCCTGAGCCCAAGCAATCCTCCAGTCTTGGCCTCTTAGAGTGATAGTGTTACAGGCATAAGCCATCACACCTGGCCTGTGCATTTGTTTTTAAATTCCGTCTTTATGATGAACGTATCTCAACAGAGTTCTCTATCACAGTTTTGGATTTAGTGGAAAATAGATGAGATTTTATTGTTAACTTTAATTTCTTCAACATGGAAGACTCTGGAATGAGGAAGGACACTGCAAAGAGAGAGACATAAAACCAGTTATGAGTTTTAGTTTGCTGTTTTGACTCTGGGCATGAATGTCAAATAGCATAGAGCAGCCTTAACTCACAAATTGGAGCAGAGTTGTGTAAGTGCTGGGCTG